ACTTCATCTTCTTGCACTAGAATGTGCTAACCTGTAAAACTGAACACAACTGAGAATTTAGGTATAACACAGTTACAAGCCTGAACAGAGAAAGACAAAATCTTCATTTTTTAAATGAAAATCTTAATTAAAAAAAAACCAACTTGACTGAAAGAACAGTGTTGCCCTGTACTTCCAGAAGGAACAGTACTAAGAAGGTAAATTTGCCTTGCGGCTTACCCACTTATCGAAGTGTTACATTCAGCTCACCCACACCTTGCTTTCTAACATTAGCCAGATTTACTTTCCTTAATAACCAACTTTTATGGCCTCATCTCTAGATGTATTTACCCAGCTGCTATGTATTTGCTAGGTGAGCATGTGTGTCACTTCACGTTTCAGAAGGGTTTTTAAGCCTCGCCTCTGGGCAGTCAGGATTTCCTGCTCTGCGGCGGCAGGAACAGAGCGAGACAGGAAACACTGCTGCTGCCAGGGGCTGCCAGGGACTAAGGTCAGCGGCTGGGTTTGTGCCTTCTCATTACTACCACAGCCTCAGGACTGAATCTAGTCAAGAACTGAACTTACCAAATTGCCAATATGTTTTCAGTATTTGCCAACTTAATTTGATTAAGTAACATCAGTGATATTCCTTGTCTTTAAAATACTCTGAGTATCGTGTTGCTGAGCCAGCACTGACTGATGCAATGGCAGTGCCGGATATCCACATGCTCAGTGTCCATGTCACTCCTGGGAACAGAGCCAAACCCTTCCAGCAGCCTGAAATGGGAGCAGTTGTATCACAACCCTGTCTGGAGACCATCCATTTTATATTTTTCTATATAGAAGCATTGTGGGAAGTCGGTAACACTCAGACAAGCCAGATGATATTGAACAGCAGCGTTGTGACAATCATTTTACATTCTTCATAAGTTAAAAATATAAAGTATCATTTTTAAACAAAACAATTTTTCACTTATTTCCTAATTTGATCTGATGTTTTAGAAGCATCAGCTTAAACTTTACATGATTAGAGTCACATCATCAAATTTTGTCCATGTCTTTTAGAGCACACATAAATCCACTGCTGTGGTCAAACACTTCTGTTTTATCCTTTAGAAGGCTGCTATGATGCTTTACAGTACTACAACAAATACATTATTGTAAAAGCTGCTGTGGTTCCCATTTTGGGGGAAGACAATACTACCATGAAGGTGGGAACAGGCAGAGTGCTACTGAGATATTGTTATACTGGAAATTATGAACAGTCAATTGAAATTTAGATTTATTCTGAATTAAAATGAAAAATTCATAAACTTTCCCATAAAAAAAGATCAATGGGATCAATGGTTTTTCCAAAGTGCAAAAACAAATTCATAAATGAAACATTTCACAGCATTTCAGTAAAGGTATATTATTGCAATTTGTATTCTTAAATAGTGCAAATAACAGTACAATTTAAAATATTGTAACCCCGTTTTTGAAATAGAATCTTTAATTCCAAACTAACAGCACTAGTATTTTTCAGACACAGCACAGCAAACATCTTTGAACAGTTTTTTTGACCACCTCTGCCCTTTCAGCAAAGCAGATCTTAAAGCTGACACTGAAAAAAGCAGCTACCTGCCAATTCTGGTCTCTATGGAGAGCCTGAGGAAAGACATCAATTTATTTTAAAGGTAATGTGGAATTCAAAGTCAGTGTTGGGACTATAAAACCATAAACAGTGAGCCTGTAGTATTTACACAGCTGTGGGTTCAGATCCAACTTTTTATAAAATTTATGTATTTCAAACAAAGAGAGCACTGATGGGGTCTGGCTGTCACCCTGAGACAAGTATATCATCATCTAAAATCTCCTTCAGATTGAGACTGACTGGATCCAAGTAAAAATACTGAATTTTAATGCTGTTAATAGAAGGAAAACAGAAATCAAATGCTTGATGATGAGGCAGTCTCCTTCCTGTGAGCAAGCACACCAAAAAAATTGGATCATATTGAACAATTGTCATAGTTCTACATGGTGAAACATAACATTCGTTCTTCTGTGCCCTGCATGCTGACTTTTGCAGGTTTTGTGTAATGTGTTAAGATTGAATAATGGTGCTAACACAAGACAATACAACATTTCTTTAAAGCAACATGTGATTTCAGCCAGTTTTGTTTAAAGGCACAAAGTCTTTATAGCAAGGTGCAGATAACTGAGAAATACTGCTTTTGCTCACATGTGATGCATTGCTGCACACAGAACTTTAACAGATTCCAGGACCTGTAACAAGGACGTTTTACATGAGAGATGAGCACAGCAGCAGGAAATGATATACCTATTGCAACAGCTTAATACAAGAGGGCTTTGAAATATGGGGAAGCCAAGTAAGACAAGGTTTGGTTCTGTATTATATTGAAAGAACTTTCAAATAAGCAGCTGAATATGGCCCCCATCCTGCCCTCACCAAAGATGAAATTCTGAACCAAATAGCCTGGTGGTGTTGTGCCCTTCCTTCTCTGAAATTGTCTCTTTCCTGTTGTGCTTTACATGGGACACAAAAGCAGAGCTCCTATTAGCATACATTTATAAACTCAGTCTCTTCTCTCCCAGCAAGTGCCAAAGCTTTCCTAATAGTTTTCCTTATGTAAGAGTTCATCACCAAATTAAAATAAAGCAATATGACAAGTTAGTAGAATATATTTGTTTAGTTTTATCACAAAAAACACATACTGGTTTAGGCTGATTTTCTTTTTATTAATAATATAAGGTTCTGTAATCTCTTAACATTACAACTGAAGCTTTACAGTTAATCTCACACTAAAATGACAAATACTGTTTGGCTTTATTTGCAGAAAATTAAATTACAACCTTGATAAATATACATTTCCAAAACTGAGAAGCAATTTGTGTTTTCTGGATTTCAGTGCTAATGTATCCCTGCCTTTGAAATTGGTTTCAGTTAATTAACATTGCTACGGAAGAACTATTTGGCCTGGCCTCCGTTCACAGCTATAAGGCAAAGATGACATCTCTAACTTAACCACTATACTGTAAGTCAAATCAAGACACGTTTTTCTTTGACTGTAAGACTTAGATCCTGGATCAGCTTTTAACAGATTTGCTTCTTTTCCCTCCAAACTTTTATAAAGGTCTCTCTAATGTAAACATATTTTACAGTCAAGCCACAGTCACTCTCTGCACCTTTCCTCCTTCGAAGGGAGCAGAAGCTGTGTAATTAGAAGTTATTACAAGCTTAATTAAAACTGCTTGTAACTTACATATGGCCAAAATAGTCAAGGAAATGCAAAAGTTGTGTTTTGCATCAGCACTTCTAATCTGCATGGATCAAACTCCATGTCTGAACAGGCTGCAGTTACCGGAAGTGAAGTCTGTTGAAGTAGGGTGTACAGAAGGAAGAGTGGTGGAAGACTATAGTATTAGAGAAAGCAAGATTTTGTTTAAATGGTGAATGATCTCTATCTGGGTCTTCTGAACTTACATTTTTGTCTATTTTCATTACCAATGAGAAATTAAAAAGACAGTAATACATGTTTCAACTGCAGTTTCAACTAAGCTCTGACCAGTTCATAAGATAGTATTTAGGAAGACAGCAATATTCATTATATTTGCAGTTAATCTCTTCCTCAGAGCTATCCAGTGACAGTGCTTTGGGACCCTTGAAGCCTGTTATTTCACCTTCCCATAGGACAACTGACATATAGTAAAAATCTTTACTGCATTTTAAATCACTTCAGAAGTCAGTGGCTATTTAAAGGTTAAAGAATATAAGGAGTTTTTACCTGCGTACTTTCAGTACAAAAAAGGATGAGGAAACCATAGTCAGAAAATTAAAAAATGGGGAGGATGTTATAGAGCTGTGCTGTACTTTAGTTAAAATCTTAAGAGATCAGTATTACTAAGCTATGGCTACTTGTTCTACTCTTTGTGCTGCCATTCTGCAAAAAAGCTTCACATGCTTTCCTTCAAAATTAATTCTTCACAGCTACACAAACTTTCATTGAGGCACAAAAACACCCTTCATATTTACCAGCTCCTAGAAAGGTCTCCACTGGGGTGTGACACAAGCCATCAGCAAGAGGCCAGCCATGGCCATGGCATCGCCAGCGTGCAGCTGAGGAAGTCCCTGCACTGCCCTGTGCAGATTCACCCACTGAGACACCTTTGTGTACTTAAGGAACACTTAACCACAGTGTGAAGGCTCAGTTTCCTACAACAGACTACACCTGCTGTTTTGGTTACTGCTGAAATACAAACTCTGGGAACAAGAAAAAAGAACAGATTTTTATACTGAAATGTTGTGAAATAAAAACCATTCAAAATAAATCCAGCTGCGTTAAAAATATCACATGAACATTCTTATGATCTGCAAATCATAAAAAGTTTTCCTAAATTACCTTGACAGCATTCAATTTAAAGTCATGGTTTGAGTGTCCATGTTTTTCAAACATTTGAACTGTAGCATTGAAATTAATATCTTAGAACAAGTTCAGAGTTGTCTGATATGCAGTATTTTTTCAAGCATTTTATACTTTTTTTGGTATATTACCAAAATTGAAAGCTAATTAGACAGTATTCTAAAATAGTTTAAAAACAAAAATGCAGTTTTATAATCTTCTCCTCATTAAGGGCACTACCAATACAAAAGGTGTCCAAACTGACACTACAGAGCTGTAAAGCAGTTGACTAGAGATAGTGTCCTCAAAGGATAATCTGTATTTTTTTCTCTTATGCATATACATTAATTATCAAAAAGTTGGATAATTTGCTTTAAGAAAGAACCCACCTTAAAAATGGATCATGAGTATTGACAAATATTGTTTATTTTACTGATAAGTTTCAATGTAAAAATGCTTACTCTCACATGATACTGATCAAGAAAATATTTCATTTTCATAAAGTTCAATGGACAATTAAAATTGTGGCTACTTGTGAAGTAAATAAATGATTCATAAAGGCCATAGGAAACTGTACAAAACTTAAATGGGAAATCTCACTTCCAGGATGACAGTAGGTTGTCCATTTAAGTATTTTATTAAACTGTTGTGACTGTTTCAAAAGACAGTGCTGGGCAGTTTCATTTGAGTAACTGAAAAAGATATTTTGCATCTGTGCAAAACAAACACAACAGGAACAAAACCCATACGCACTAGGACTGAAGTACAGATGAACACAAAATTTTGTTACAAACCTGTTTTCAACTTACAGTGAGAAATGTCCGTTGTACAAAACTTAGTGGCTGACCTATAATTAATTTAAGATTATCCCAGCAATGCAAATACAACTCAATTGTGTAAGATTTTCCAGTAGTACTACAGTGAGAGACTACTGAATTTTTAGTAGTTTGACTTACACTGTCTCTTTTGCTGAAAGCCTACATTTGTACTCTTAAAAGTATTTGCTGGTTACAAGTCTGTTACATACTTAATCCAGTACAGGGAGGTACTCCTTGGTGTTCTCTCATCTGTCTCTTAGCAGCTTTCCTTTAGCAGGAGGCTGGGCTGTGCAGCTGCTTCTGTAGAAAACACGGCTGTCAGTCATTGTCCTCCTTGCAGGGGATGCTTTAAGTAAGAAACATCTGGCAGTATCCAGCAGTGAAAATACTCTCAGCTGTGCTGCCTAGCCCAACTTGGAAACCCAAATTTGCATTTTCTGGTTGGTACTTTCTGCCCAGTAGGTTGGAATATTGTTAAGTAAAAGTCCATAAACATTAACAGTGATGTTTACACTTTATTGGGGGGAGGGGGAAGGGAATAGCAAAAATCAATGTAAGTTACTAGTTTTTAAAGTTTAGTCTATGTTATATTTGATTACTGGGATATCAATACAATTAAATTGGAGGAATTTCAACAGTAATTTTTAATTTTTAGTACATCATTTGTGCAGGGCTTTATAAAAGATTTTTGTTTCCAAAGATGTTATTGGGGTCCACATATTCTTTAACAGATCTCAGCATTCCCAAGCCAACATCAGAGATGCTCTCCTTCATCCAGCGCTTCCGCAATTTGCCTACTGGAAAAACAAAAACAAAGTGTTTCAATATATGGCAGGATTCTAGGAGCCAATCAATCTTGTGACCATGAATGAATAAACATTGTGTGATAAATGCTTTTATTCAAAAATGAGAAATGTTTTGCTTTATTTGATTTATTGAGCCCACCAGACTATCAAGCTCATTAAGCTCAGCATACTCCCAGAGGAAGACTGTGTTCCACACTGTCTGCTTTCTTTAGAAACTATGAAATTTAGATGAAGCTTAGGCTGAAATCACATGTTCTATTAAGACAAGGAAACAGTAGTAAGTTTTAAAAAGCTACAAACTAATTTTAAGTTGGAAACTGCAGAGGAGATTACTAAAAAGCAGAACCCCACATTTCTTGATTACTTTAAAGTGAAAACATAACTCAATAATCAAGCTTAAATCAGTATTGGTTTAAATAGAAAAAAAAATGTTTCTATGAAGAAGGCTTAATGTTATTTAAAGACTTCTCTGCTGGCTGGTAATTGCTCAATACCATTATATAAGAGCTTTGTTTCCCATGTAAAAATGGTATTCACAACATATACCAAATACAATCAAAACTGAAACAATCTTTTAAGAACTCATTTCCTAAATTCTTACAATAGTCCTGTTAAATGGCCAAGTGTTCACATGCTAATTAACCAAATCATCAACTCTGATTAACAGAGCATTCAAAACTGAGGACATTTTTTTCATTAAAGACACTCTAGCATTTAACTTGTCAGCCTGAAACACAATCCATTTGTCAGTATGATAGGACATAGTAAAGGTTTGAGAGACAGAAGCTTTAAGAGTATCTGAAGCTAAATTCAAGCCATCTTTTGTGCCCTGTTTCAGGGTAACCATCAAACTGTCATCAGAATAATAAATTACAGGGACACCTCTGGAGAACAGAGTATATTTGTTTATACCTTAAGGAATACGAGCCAGTCACAATGCCAACAGAAAAAGCAAATAATGTGAGACAGAATGAAATTCGCAGTTTGCTAGAAAATGACTATTAGCAGCATGTGTGTCAAGATCAAAGATCACAGCTGAAGGACAAAAGAATTTGTCATGTGGTAGGAACCCTGGCTGTATTTTGCAGCACCAGCTCAAGAGAGAATCCCCATCTGTGAATATACTGTCACTACAATGGGACTGTCTGAGCACACTGACGTGGTTGAATTTTATCTGTTAAAATACTTTAATACTTTAAATACTTTTTCTTTAATACTACTACAAAAGACCTGAATTGTGGATGTGGCTTGACCATCCCCTCAAGTCACTCACGCTGGCTCTTACACAATTTTTAGTCATTACTATTCTCAACTGTTATCTGTAATATAGTTTCAGTGAATGTGTTCTGTGGTTATGGATGTAATTGTCCTGAAAAGACTGCAAACAACTGCTCCAACAAGATGGAGCACATTAGAATCACAGCAGGATGCCCAACAGCTAGCATGCCTGCCTCTTTTACACCTCCAGTAATAATGCAATTCCACAAGGAACTGAACTACTGTCTGAGCAGCACCAAACAGTCGTTGCATATTTAATGAAGTCGCTCACCAAGTGCTGGAAAACAGAAGGTGCTTGGAGTGCATCATTAGTTCTGTCAAAGTGATAATTTACACATCTATCTTGTCAAATTTTCTATGGTTTATACTTTTGCAATAATAAATCTAACATACATCTGATTAGTGAACTGGAAAGAAAAAAAGCTGTACTACAGTTACCAGCAGTCCTTCACAAACATGCTCAACAAAAAGATTTTAACCCCGTGATAACAGCAAAGTTGATTTCCTGCTCCTACTATTTGTGTCAATAAAATATACATGGAGTTTTCAGCTACTCAAATTTTCACATTAAGAAAGAAAAGCTAAAAGTTAAAAAGTTTTGAAGCAATCTCTCCTAATTCTAAGCTGGTCCATCAGATAAAATGGAAAACAGATTAAATGAAGGAAAGGCTCTATGAAAATGAGAGCAGTACTTAGAAAGGTCATTTATAAATTGTTTCACTTCAGGTTAGTGGTGTGCTATACAGTTTCTGGTCCTTCTTTTCCACAGGGCAACCTAAATGGCTTCAAGGATGAGAAGAGAAAAAGAGGAAGAAAATGCCACAATAGTAAAAGATGTTAGTGTGAACATAAAAATAATTCCAAGTGACCAAGTTGCTTACCTCTAAGCGCAGCTAAAGAACAGCTCTGTGCTCAAGGAAGCCTTAACTTCCCTAACAATAAGATCTCAGTTAAGCCTGATCTTATCCCAGACTACAGAAAAACAATTTCCTATTTCTAGCCTAGAGAAAGTAGACTTTTCAGTTTTAGCCCTACATGATGGCACTTACCTAGAACTGACAGGAGACAGTGCACAAAACCAGAATTGATACAAGCATCTACTACTTACAGGCTTTCAGCATAGTATACTTTTCAGAATTAAAAAATGAGATCAAAGTCACCTGATTCTATATGCTACATCAAAACATTATTAACAATATATTTGTAGTAGCTTAGCATAGCAGGTTACTACTTGTCCACTCATACACACCACCACATGCACAATCCTTGTGCCCCAGCTGGAAACAAACACAGCCCTTCCTTCTTGCATCTTCTTCCTCTGAAGACAGTTAATCTTGCATCTGAAGGGATGGTGTCAAGAGGATGGAGCCAGGCTCTGCTTGGTGGTGCCAAGCAAAAGAGGTAATGGGCACAGGAAATTCCATCTAAACATGAGCAGTGATATCTTTATTGTGCAGGTGCCCAAGCACTGGAACAGTCTGCCTAGAGAGGGTGTAGAGTATCTCTCACTGAAGGTATTCAAGAACCTTCTGGATGCTTTGCACCTGTGCAATGGTGCTCTAGTAACTTTTTCCCAGGTCTGATACATGCTGCTCCATGCTGGTTCCATTGGAAAAGTTGTTCATCTTTCTACTGCCCTTTCTCACTTGCCCATCTTTGAAAATGAACCTGGATGGCTACAAAAAGTCTGGTGCCTAAAAATGGAGTGAGCAAACAGCAGGCAGCAGTTGGTTTTCTCTCTTTTGGAATATGAACTACCAGGGCACACATGAACGGTTTTGTAAGGAAAGTTTTCATGTAGCTGATTGATTCCAGGAATTACTCCACACCCATGCAGAAGAGATTTATAGCACTGTGTGGTCCCAGTGGAAATAGGTTCTGGTGGCACTGCACATGGCTCTGGACCTCCTCCACTCCAGCCCTTTCAACATGAAGAGTCACTTACTGCATAACAACAGCTTTGCAGAAGGGGCAGCAGTGACAGGTCCTAAGAAGGATGAGGCTCATCCAGCTGTTGCTCCTCCTGAAACTAGCTATCCCTCCAGAAAGCAGCTCTCTCTGTCCTTATAAACTGCTTAAAATGCTAGTTCACTTCCAGGGAGAACTCTGCAAAACTGAGAAAGGTCAGTGCAGTAATGTAAAACATGACAGCACTGGAGTATATTGGACCAGTGTATACCAAGTCTACTGCATAATTAACACCACAACCATAACACCTTGCATATTTTCACTTGGTATCTTAAGAGCTGAAATACTTTCAAGTTTGGTATTGATGAATCAGGAGATCCTTTCCTTTTTTTTTTTAAAAAAAAAAACACTGAAGATGACTATTCTATTAAGACTTTCAACAGACCAAGGAGGAAAATACAATTGTGTTACTGTATTATTTCACATGAGGTTACTCCATGTCTAACAAATGTATCAGTTTTAATTTTAATGAGCAGAGCAAACTCTAGTATGCTTAAGGGTAGAAGATTTTTTTTTCCCCCTGTGTAGAAGAGAAAAGAATGTGTTCAACTCCTCCTCACAAAAGAACTTTATAATTTCAGAATTTTGTAGTTTGTCTGAGTTAATTACTGTAGTGTACAGCTTAAGCCAGAGCCTCTTAATGCCAAAAAACTGCAGTGTCAAACATGTAATTGAATGCAAATAAGGTGTAAGGTTTATTTTTTCTTTTTTTTATTTTGTTTTGGGGGTTTTGCTTTGGTTTTTTAGTGTTGTGGGACTTTTTTCTTATCTTTTATTTTCCTACTTAAACTGTCATTGATACTATAGCTAAACCCATGCAGCTCGGGATACCTGGTTAACCTTTACTCTAATCAGTTCTAATCAGTTGTCTAGAAAGTAGAAGGAAATTAGTTCTATTATGTTAAGTGGCTAAATGGGGCTATCTTCCTCAACCCCACAATCTGATAATTGTTTCCTTAAGCAACCAGTTGTAGTTAAAACAGTCCATCAAAGGTAAGCAATATATCATTACTTTTTACACTGTTCTTTAATTTTACATAGGTGCTTAGTTTGGTAATATGAAAGGGATCAGGTACAAATCCAACCTTCCCCCTTTCTGACCAAATCAAAAGGGTTTTCTAACCAAAGGGGTTATAGTTATATTTACACACCAGGCATACTTACTGATACTTCTTCAGCACATGCTATTTCACACATACAAAAAAAGGCATGCTTGAAATTCAAGTGTGACACATCATATGGGTGTTTTTAAGGCTTGCCATAATTTATTAGAATAATTATTTATCTGAACTTAAACTTGTACCTACAAGAAATTGTCATTCCTAATGCTGCTTTTTAAATGCTAAGTTTCTAAACACTATCTATGACTCTCAAATCTAAAGATACCCAGTGCCCAGAAAAGCAGAAGGATCAAAGCTATGCTTGAAGATGTGCAGTGTCTTTCTGAGCATAGGACACAGTCCACAGCTATAATGGGGGGTAGGGGTAAGTAAATCCCCACACCATATCCACAGTAAAGTCCTTCTGAAGCTACTCTTCATAAAATTAAAAGTACCATGATTTCAGTTCTCACTGTGCACCTATCTGTAGCTGGTACTTCCCCAGATGTAAAGTAATTTATACATTTACACAACTCAAACTGTCATATGTGACCATTTCTTCACTCAAGGAGTATATGAAGATTGACTTAAGCAGGCTTTGTAATTCCTATAGCCTCAAGTCCCAGACTACATCTGTTTTCTTTGATACACAAACCCAGAGTTAAAATAGCTCCATTTATCACAGTGTGATTGTAAGCAGACAAATCAGCCTGTTTCCAGATAGTGAAAACAACTGTTATTAATCACAATTACAAGACAAACACCAAAGGAAATTGCACCAGTATTTTCTTTTACCACACACAATAGACTAGTCAGTGCTAAGAGTGACAAGGCTTGAAGGTCAGTAAATAAAACTGACAATATTAGGCTAATTTTCAGCACCACATCTACTAAGCGCTGGAAAAAAATAATCTTGAATATTGAACACAATGAACCGCCACACAAAACCACTCAAAGTGGAAAATATATATTAGTATCAGAGGCAGTCATGCATACAACAGGAGCATACATAGTCAAACAGGAACCCAGTTTTCATAGCTGTAGAGTCAGAAGGTTCAAGAGTGCAAGGGTTTGAAAATGCTACATATTTTTTTTTCTGGTTCAACACATGTAGTAAGCAAGGTTTTATATGGTGAAGGCAAATACGTCCAAATGACAAGCTCCAGTTGCATGTGAGTTGGATGAAATGCTAGTTACAGTGAAATAGAGCTGCCACAGCAGGGAAAGCATGGGAGTACATCAAGGGGGTAATTCCACATCGACAGGTCCACTATACCACCATATTAAAGATTTAATCAGAGGACCATAAGAGCATATCAAACAAAAAATACTGAAATCTTTTCACACATGTTATTACCTACACATCCTTCAATATCCTGATACTGCCAAAGCAGAGTCCATTTCAGTTTCTATTACAAAGCAAGATACCTGAAAACAGCCCTAGCTAAAATCTTCAAGTCTGGGAAGTCACTGACATGTTTTAAAGCAGAGCTTCTGCCCTTTAGTTTTTTTCCCCACACAAACCTTTTAGAATTACAGATTTTTTCTCCAGTTTTAAACCATTACCCTTCTTCTTTGCTCTTATATCTGTGACCAGGCAATGCTCCAAGAGAGCAGAGAGATGAAATGCATTAAGATAATCAGTTTCAAGAAGGTAGCTGCACAAATCACACTGACTTCACAACAAGTCTTCCTGACATCCAAGGTTATAGCATTATATAGGACGCATGCAATCAAATTAGACTATCCATGTATGTGGGAAAAGCACAGGTAAAGCATCAGGAACAGGAAGTACTGCTTACACGTAACACTGGTTCTTAATATTAAAGCACAAAGTACCTTGTGAAGATGCTAGTAACACAGGAAAAGTAATCCCCAAACTCTAAGAGAGAAACTAGGTAACTAGAATTTGTCAAACAACAGGCCAGTAAAGTTAACACTTACATAAATCAATTATGCAACAAATGGTAGATTGCAACACAGTCCAGTTTAAAGTTACTGGCTCTTTTATTCAGACACTTCACCTCAGTGCTCTGGAATTTGGGCTAACAGCATTCACAAAGCCACAAGGGACACAAAACTGTGAAACTCCCATTTGAATTCTGTGTAACTGAATATATATCTACACAAGGATCAGTAAAAGTTGTTTAAGACAAACTGATCAAACTGGAAATAGAGTGAGAAGTTTCTAGATAAAATGCCAGGAGATCTTCTCCTTTGAACTTCCCCCAGCAACTTCAGTTAATGTCATTAAATCTTTTTCAGAATTCTACCACAAACTATTTTGTACTTGCAAATATTCAGTGGTTTCAAAGAGACTAATATTAGACTGAGAACATTACCTCCATGGTGATGTGAAAGACTTCCTCCATTGGCAAGTATTTCTTCTCTAGCAGCCCTCTAAATTTGAAAGATACAGTATTTATTCAACAGCAATTGCACAAGATTTTTTGATTTCATGAAATGCTTGCTATTGCACTCATACACACAGGTGCATAAAAAGTTTCTGAAGTAGTTAGAGCACTTTATATAGGTAAACATTGTAGTTCAAGCAGATAAAGGTAAGTAAGAGTCTTCTAAACAAACATTATCAAAGCCAAGACATTCCAAATGACATCTCTGGTAACAAATGTATTACTCAAGAATAGAATATTCTGGATCACTTTCCCCTTGTCAAAACTTAAAATAGTCCAGTGGCTGGGATGTTCATTTGGAAGATGATTAAGTCTCAATAAAGAAGTCTGAAAACAGTCTCCTCAGAGTGATTCAAGATCCGTATTCACGTCAGAGTTCATCCCAGATCTTCAAGATCTGGTTGAGGCAGTGAGGTACTTTACAACAGACAACCCTTTCATGGGTGCAGTTTGTGGCAGAAAACAAAATTTAGATTTTATGTTAACAATGTTCAAGTTGTAGAATCTTCTTTGCCATTCACTTATGAATAATTGGTAGAGCTTATAAGGTGTAACAATGAAAGTTTTTATAAGCAGAAGGACTACTTTTTTATTTTTTCGAAAGAGTGCACTTTTTTAGGAATAACATATATAACTGTAGCTATACCACTAAGAGATTTTTTCAGTCTGCCTTAGAGTACATACACTCAGCAAACTTACTTTGTTAGGTTAAATTTAGTCACTATGATGGAAGGTGTGCATCCAGGTCACCATACAAACTAATTCCAATAAAAGTAATATCTAGGTATAAGTTTCATTAAATGAACACTCAAGTATTACATTCTTCAGTGCCCTATATGCAATAGCATGAAAGACTCTGAACTTGTTGATAAAACTTTGCATCCACTTGCCAAATTCATGAGAAATTTCTAAAGAAGCATGAGAAGAATGATATCCCAGTTATAAATACTATTTCTCTACAGTCCTATTAGCAATTTTCTGGTGCTGAAGTTTGAGCATGGAACCAGAAGGTAGGAAAAAAAGCAGTTTGGCCATAGTCCTTCTAAGAATTACATCTTGAAGGTAACAAGGCTATTAGTTTCCCCTAATTAGGTAAGTACAGCGTTTCAGCAGCTGAAGCATTACAGCAGAAGCATTGCAGAGCTCCTTGGCCAATGCTGAAGCAGCTTACAACTGGTCTAATAGACTGGCCTTAGAGCAGTGCTTATCTGGGCCTAACAGAAATGGCACGAGACACAGTACGATTCCTTATTCTCTGTATGCAGCACTATTAATTAGGTATGATCTTGACAGTTTTACCATGCATTTACAGACTGAGTATCAAGCAGAAAAAGTAGCTTTGTAAATAATGGAACTAAGGAAGACTAGTTTCCTTAGGAAATTTGGAGTTTAAGGTTTGAAGTTTCTGCCATCCAAGAAACTCCAGGTCAAGCTTTTCTATACTTCAGTCAGAACTATTGATTTACTGGTATCTAAAACAATCACCTGGTAGTGTTTACTTGATGAACAATTAACATGTACCTCTTATTACTGATAATGATCAAAGCTTTACAAACAGACTTCCAAGATCTTTCCTGCAAAATCCTATAAGTTTGGCCAATAGGTTCAGAACAAAATACAGGTTATCAGTTTTTCCCCCTTTAACCATTGTTCCTTCATACATTACCTCAATTTGTTCATAGACATGAATAGGATCACTAATTCCTCTGTAGTTAAAGGCAAAGTAGAAGTAGACGCATGCACCTGCGTCGTAAGTCTGTGTCACCCTGTTGAAGAGAACTGCATTACAAACAGAGCTTTATGACATTAAGCCAACCACTATGTGACATTATAAAATTCATAAGATTATTTCCTACCTTATTCAAAGAGACAGCATCTTTTTAAAAAATGTTATTATCCTTTTTGCTCCTAATCCATGAGCGACTCAATGCTATGACTTTGAAAGTTGAAGCTCTTAAGTCATTACACTTGACTCTCGTCCGTATAAGCAAGAGTCTAAAGTCTAAGCAAGTGCTACTAATCTCTTGGATTCCCCACTCTTCCATGAAATCCATTTGCAGGTTCAAGGGGAAAGTCAAGGGTACTTGCAATAACTTTGTAATAACATCGCTAGATCTCTTACTAAATAAGGATTTAAGAAAAATTATTTAGATTACTGCATGGCTTACCTACAGGTGGAAAGAGGAGCAAACTGAACACCCTTTTCTTTGCACTCTCGTACTATCCTTTCCTTTACATTTCTACAAAGGTCCAAAACCCTGTAACAGGAAACACATTAAAATATAAAATTTTGGTAAGAGATTTTATACAACTCCTAAAAAATGAACTTCATCAACCTTTCTAAAAAGCATAATCTAATGCAATGCAAGAGTACCTTCAAAATCACTGTTAACTAATTTAGACTTTGTTCTAAGAATAGTCCGCATCACAACTCCACTGCTTTTTCTGCACTTCTGAATAGCAAGTTTACTCTGAAAGAGAGAACCTGAAAATTCTTCTTCAAAAGGAAGGCAGAAGTGTCAAAAGTGTTCAAAAAAAAAAAAGGAGGTTACCTACTTCTGGATGTCTTTACTTTCTTAGCAAAACAGTCTCAGTTTTGGCGAAGTAGTTAACAAGTACAGAAGAAATCTTGAGAACTCATAGGTCTGGCAAAATCTACTAACACCATACCTTTGTGTTGCTGCAAGGCCAAAACTGGAGATCTTTCATCTGGGCAATACTCTGCCAACTTGAAACACTATAATTCTAATATGGCAATGAACTATTAGACCTTGTCAGAAGCCATACTTGTTCTTCCTTTTTTTTCGATTCTTCTTTGCCATTCGCCCAAATGCAAACAAAGTACTAGGGCAACCAAAAGAAATCACTGTTTTTCAAATGACCATTTCTTCAGTTACACATTCTCCCACAAAGGTCTGCAGTGCTATAATTCAGATTAAGATGTTTTACACAGATTTAAAACTACAATTTGTGAATCTTTAGATTCACAGAACACAAGAGAATTTAACCATTTAGTGAGTAAGAAAGTCAGCTAAATATTTTATTCAAGTATCTGCCACCTGTCAAGAACAAGTTAATCCATTTATGGAAAGTTACATGGTACTTAGGAGTAAAAGAAAAAGGTTTTCAAAGCATTTGCTTTGGTGAGAACAATTTTAAATACTTTAAGTTCTTAAGTAAAAAATTACTGTCTTCTGAAACAACGGAGAAGTAAAACAAATTGGCGGCTAAGAAGTTAGCATGCTTCAAAATCTATAAAGCTAAAGGAAAAGGAAGAGCACTTTCGCTTTAAAATTGTCCTCAAATTTCTTCTACTCTTGGCATACTTTGCCAATTTTCACATGGGCTGGAATTTACAATTGCCACTATTCAATAGCAAGGGTATAGGGTTGCCAACTTAAGTCATCAGACTTCGTATTGAGTACTGTAAAGCTTTGATTCAAATCACTTTAGATCCTATTTAAAAGATTTCAGGCTTACCAAATGGACAGGAGCATCCAAAATGATTTTGTATATTAAACTCTATTGTGGTCAAATGTTTCTCAACCACAGCTAACAGATAAAATACCCTAAGATAAAATATTCCAATCTTGGGCAAAAGTTATCTTTTCAGTTTTCATTTCCCTACATTACTGGAAAAAGAAAAAAAATTATTTAAATATACTTCTTTTTTTTCATCTTCACTACAGACTAATCTGTTTGAAATACACTGCTGATCCCACACACGTAGCTGCTCTTCCCCCACTGCAATTACTGTCACCAATGTCTTGCCACCTAAACAGGGCAATTTCAAGTTCTAAATTTGTTACAGTAAGCTAACCTAAGATGAAATATTACTGAATGCTTGACACACTGCATTTACAAAATTCTGGTATGCAAATTATCAGCAACTTTAGTAAGAACAGCTGCAAGACTTGAGGTATGTCAGGCTGCATTCAATACACGTAAGGCCCAAAATAAGCATCCTCATAAGCAAACATGAGTTAGGAATAATTTGAATGAAAACAAGTTTTAAGAAATTCTAAAGAGTAATTGGAGTTTACCTATCCCAAGGAACAGATGTCTCAAATGATTCTCCTATTACGTAATAATCCAGGCCTAGATCCTAATAAAAAGAGTAAAGAAATTATCAGTAACGTTCAGCATCAGCATCTGGGATTCCAGTGTATGCTACACAGCTATCAGGTGAACAGCGTTTTAGTTTGCAGGAGAAAAACAGAAATTCTGATTTAGCAAAAACACCCATATGTCCCAGTGAGGCAAGTTCATTATTATGGAAATAGGGAAGCTCTTAAAAGACAAAGATGACGAACATTTTGATGTCATGGCTACATTGAGACAACTTGTCAGACTGTCAGTACGCCTACACTAATCAAATATTTATATCACTATAGTAGCAAGCCAAGAGTGTCATTGTGCTCATCAATATGATACCTAGTAAAAATATTTTTTTGCAATGAAGTCATTGTTTAGATAGAAAAAAGACAAACATCTTCCCATCTTACACACAGCCTGCTGAAATAAAGGGAGATTCAGTGATTTGTCCCTAACAAATCAGACACTCAGGATGTGCATATTGTTCTGAAAAATAAAAAAATCTCAAACAGTATGACTAAAATTCAAAAGAACAGCTGCAGCAGCTTAAACTAAAAGTTGTTATGTTGGAATTCTGATTTAAACCAGTCATAAACAGATTGCCAAAGAAGAGTAAAAAGACAAGTGAACACATGAGTATTTTAAGTATGCTCCAAGCCTCTGATTTCATTCACCCTGAAGATTCTTTTATCTAACCTCCCTATCCTTTATAAGAAATTATTTTCTTAACAAGAGTATAAATTAATGTCGATAAGGTGTTTTGCAGATGAAATTCCATGAATAATCACTCAGAAATAGAAGAGATACAACCTCTGGTAGAAGTCTGAGATACCATCCAAGGCAGCCTGCATTCAGATTTCAGAGAAAGCATCTTCAAAGAAACATCTCTGTGTTTTGCAACATTAATTAACAGAAGTTGCAGCAGACAGACAAAAGCTGACCTACCCGAAGGTAAGCAATGACAAATGTCAGCATGTATCCTCTCTGTCCATTATCTTCTCCTGCTGCCAAGCCACTGCAATTTACAAGAATTTAATTAATTTTCAAAAAAATTAGTCACCAGTTTACAAAAATATTTATAAAGTAACTTTGATTATTAAACATATGTGCAGGTTTAGCTGCCTAAGCTGTGTTAAAATAGTTGTTAATAGTAAGGTCTCTTCACTAGAAATCAGAAGTTACTTCAGACCAGACCTTTATTCATTTCTCTTTTCATTCCATAACCCAGAGATGAACTTAACAAAATATTTGATGTGGTCTTAAAAAACTGTCTTCAAAACTCACAAAAGAGTGGAAAAACACAAGTAGACACATATTATTGGATATTAATGTACAGGAACATGGGTAATTACATTTCTAAGCATGCTGAATTTGTGTACTTCTATGTGCACAGGTCATGAGACCTCAACACTTAAGAGACCCAAAGCATAAGAGATCTGAATGAATTAAAAAAGCCACAAAAGCCATATCACTAAAGAAAAAGGAAGCCTTGCTTTCACTAATCTATCAAGGATTATTATGAAAGCATTTGTTTTTAGCTATTGGTTTCTAAGAACAAGAAAGTGCTATGCATCTGAAATCAGTCTTCCTACAAGGTCCCATAAATCTGAGAGGAGTGGCTGTGGGTGTGAAATCAGACACCCCGAAGAAGCGTAGAATTAAAGTATTTTATACTATAAAACCATTAAATGGTTTAGCATTTTAAACCAGGTTAAGCTACTAAAGACTTCACTAGTAGCCTTAATAAAGCAGCACAGACAGCACCATCTTCTAATGGATCTAACACCAACAAGTTCCCCCCTTATCAATTCACCATCACCTTGACATACCAAAATACAAAAGGATTCATGGTTGAAGTAACAGAAGCGCAATAAAAGCACAGATTTCAGAAACTACAGCATTGAAATGGATAAAACAACACTTATATGTGAATTTGAATAGCTGAGACTAGTAGTATTAGCAAAAACAGTACACTCTTGACAAATCACAGTTTTAATGATGGTTTTCATCAATCAGGCTTAATGAAGGCAGAAGTAAAGAAACTACCTGATCATTACTCAGTCTGCCACTTCAATGAGTGTTTTCTGTCCCTTTGTGGGACAGAAAGTCACTGCACTCTTTATCTAAACAAGTTTCTTGTATTCATACACTCACATGAATTCTGCAAAAATTTAATATCACCCTTATGATTTTGCCTCCCTTTCCGTAGTCAAAATATACGAGTCTAGTATTGCAAAACAAGCTGCTTCTATGCCTGTAAGCAATTAAAAGGGCTGTGGTTTCCACTTTAGTAACATTCATTCCATATTCAGTAAATCTTTTTCTGCAATACACAGACAGCTGAAGTTTTTCAGTAAAGTTACCTATGAGTTAGTACATGAGCCATATGTATCAAAGGGAATATTCAGTAGCTAATTGACTGCTGTCACTTCAAACTAGTAAATTGAGAACATATCCATACAGTAACCACTACAAAAATATGGTAGGCCATTTTTTTTCCTGGACGGTTCATTCCCAGCTTCACATTGAAAATGTTCTTTGAAAAGCATACCCAAACTTGGTGGCAATATCATAGACTTGCTTCTCGTGCTGAAGAACCTTCTCTCTGTCACCCTCAAAGAGCAAGGTAGCTACACACAGTATGTTGGGATCAAATCCTTTAAACTGCAAAGAGAAATAAACTTTCCATTAGTCACAGTCTATGTGGTGGAATACAAGGAACAGGTTTTTACATGGCATGTGCCCTGGTCTGTAAGTGTTGCTGCAATTAAGAGGAATGAATGGGAAAAAAATCCTTCAAAAATTTACTCCCAAAACACTTAAGCTTTTCCTTGACAGGACAGGTCAACTGAAGTAACAGAAATTATCTGTCTGCTCTTTCCTCCTGTTAAAAAGCAGGATAGGCATAACAGCTGCCTACCTATGCTGCGGAAAAAAACCAGGTCTTAAATGTTTTGAGCAATAGAGACATTTATGTTCAATCAACTATTCCTATCAGTTATAAAAGCAGGAAGAAAACTATGACCATCACAAATGTGGAGGGAAGGAAAAAACTGGGCTATCTCTAAACAGTCTTCCCTAACAAAACAGGTCCCAAGACACATGTTACTTCCCACTTCAATAGTCCAGGAAAAAGCAGCAAAATCAACACTAGTCACTGTCTTCCAGAAGTACACCCACTCTTGTAAGACAATGAAATTTTCTACATTTGAATAGCCACAGTTGCAGAAACTCTCTAGGTAATTTGGAGGAAAAATCAATAATAAGATAAAATATTTAATACAAAAGCTGAGGTGACATCATTTTAGCACCAAATAATTTGTAGGTTAAAAAGGAATGAATTCCAGAAAGACAAAAAAAAAAACAATTTCTATGGGAAAATCTGCCAAATATCTTGAGGATCTTGCAAAATTCTAGCTCACTGTAATAAGAAGGTAGATCATCCCTACAGAAAATCTAGGAAGATAAAAATATAGTAGAGTATTGGCCTCGCTCCATCAGTATTCAGTGATTATCACTGGTATGCAAGATGGGTAAACTTGTTCCAGTCTTCCTCTGTCACCAAGTTACCGTTAGACATGGCACATTAATCTCTTCTACAGGCATGACCAGTGACAACAGCTCTCTTGGCTAACTCCTCAAACACAATCTCATTTGAATTAAACCACCTTTAGAACCTCAAGTTCTTATACTGTAGTATCAGTTACAACTCACACTCAGCTGCATTATAAGCAGTTTACCAAAAAATCTCAAATTTTATGAATAGCACGCAAAAATGAAACCAATATTAAAAACCCCAAAATTACCTTTGTGATGTAGAACTTTTTCAGTCCATCCAAAAACGATGTAAAAATGGAAGCAACTTGTGGTTTAAGAGCATGACCTTTGGCAAAAAGCAGAAAAAGGCATATTAAGGCAAACAGTGCTCTTAAGATTATTACTTCAAGGGACAAATAAAAAGTGGCTTGGTAGTCAAAATTACCAGAACTGCTTGGAGCACTTTGATTATCAAAATTAAAGAGAATTCTCTCTACTCATTTAGAACATGATTTAGGAAGAGTTTTCATTAATTTTTGAAGACATATGTACAACTGTGCACAAATATTTGATACTTTTATTAAGGCTGCCTTAGTTTAGATTTCACAAGCCTATGGCACGTGGAAAATTTTTAAGAGAGCACTTCATTAGTTTTTACACCACAAAACTGAGCAAAAATCAGTGACTTGTTTTTAAAGTTATACCAAAACCACTGAAACAAGCAGCCAAAAATGGTGCAAGTTAGGAGTTAAGCAATTTTTTCCTTAACAGTTATATCACTTGTGTGAAGTTTTCTACATAAAGCTAGTAATTGCTTCCTTAATGACAAACGGGGAACTAAAATTACCAGGATATATAAATGTGTCTTGGAGCCTGTTAAATTAACATCTCTGCCTCAGGACTGGGTTTAATTGAGATGAAAGTCTTTTACTGTTTGTTCCATTGTTTTCAGTCTCAAACAACTTCTGAACTCTCATTACTGCTTCACTTTAGCAGCCTGGCATCTGGCCTACATGCTGTGAGCCCAATTCATAAAAAGTTATGCACCATTTACATGATACATCCTTCTAAAATACTTCAAAAAGCATTTCCTCCTGAAAAACACATGAACTTCAACAACTGATTTTTTTTCCTCTTAAGCAAAGAGGGAGTCTCTCTGCAGATACAAACCCCAAAGAGGACTTCAGTAAGCACACAGAAATCATGAAAAGTCATGAATTTATTAAACTACAATCTAAAAAATTACTTAATAATGGCTACAAGAAAAATCCATATTGTCACACCTGAAACTAGGTTTACAGCTTGCAATTGGTCAAATTCCCAAATAAAAAAAGAAATGCCTTCTGTTGGACATGTCTGAGCAGGAGAGTGTAACACAAAAGAGAGCTTGCCCAGCAAGCCCTCTCAGCTCTTACAAATCACAATTTCCCTGGTTTGAAAAATGAAGTTCAGCTTTCTCAACACCACTATATTAATGCCATTTGAAGCTGAGATTCATCACTGAGGCTTCTGTGCAAAAGAAGTTCCAGAAAATCTGACTAGTTGAAGTATTATAGTGGAGGTTTTCAAGGTCAATCAACACTTCCCATTTGCATCTTCTGGGTACAATCAAAATAGCATGGTCTCAGCAAGTTCTGCAAGCTATAAGCTTTTGGGTTGTGGAACTCCACAGTCTCCATCAGAGTGTCCTGAGCCAGAACGTATCTTCTGCCAAATTTCTGAGAGTTTAAAATGACAGCTTTCCCTAAGAATTGCTGAGAAATTATTGTTCTGCATATTTGACATTATCCTGTTTAGGTGTTTGAACTAGCTGAAATTTTGTAAAATCTTTTGTCTTCAGGAATCTTCTGGTAGCTTCATTGACTTTTGATACTTGAAGCCTAACAGCTTAGATGTACTTGCACACAGTTACAGCATTTACAACATCTGATCTTTTTTTGAAAACAGAGAGATCACTTTGAACAAATATGTCATTGCCTTTCTCCCACCCAATCAAACATTATGGTATCAGACTATTTTCAAAAAACCTACTACTTCTAAGGAACCTCTGAGATGCTTTCATGAAATTTAAAGGAATCAACACACCTTAAAAACAAGGTGCAGGCATTCTGATTTTTTGTATTTTTTTTCATATTCAACTTCTCATTAATACTCTCAGGAAGAAAATGTTTCAAGTACTGTATTTTAAAACTGGAATCTCTGCTCCTTTACAGCAAAAAACCAGAAGTGATTCCAGAATTTCAATCTCAACAACTGACTAAATGTCAAGAATGGAAACATAGCAGAAAACCCATCTCATTTATAGGCAGAGTGAGGCTCTTTACTGACTCAAGTAGTTGATAGTGTTTCCTCAGAGACAGACAGGCTTCTGTTTCTGAAGCTTGCATTATGGCACTATCTGGAGTTTGAACTCTGGGTTCACTGCCTTCTGTCTAAATTCGAGCAAAGGAATTACTACCCAAAACAGACTTAAGCTACTAAAAACCCCTTGGAAACAGACGATACTCCATCATGATCTACATACTTACCAAACTGAAACTGTGCATTGTCGACAAGGCGAATTGATGCAGGAGCACATCTCTTGGAGGCAAAGTTAGAGAAGTAAGACAGGAAGAATAAGAAGATAATATACATAGTTGGTTTTAAAATTCATTGCAATCAGATTTTCATTTTAAAATAGCATATACGAAAGCACATTTTGATACCAGAGACCTCTGGCCATCATCATCATTGAAACAGGGTGACTAGAAGTTTGTTTTCACTGGAACAGCAACATCTGCTAGGTATCTCTACACATAATGCATTGAGAAATTTCAGTTTAACCTCAAGCCAACACAGCAATAGTCCAAAAACATTGATCTTCAAATGTTGAGTGTTTTTCTAAAATGGCACATGCACTAAAGATAGTACATGTGCTTAGTACATCAAGCTTATGTTTCTGTGTAATCAGAGATACACACATAATAAAAATCCATTGAAAAAGTTTAATTGTTGAGGGTCACCCTAGCATGCAGCTGAGCACTACACAGCTGCTCACTCAGCCCCCTCCCTAGTGGGATGGGGAAGAAAAATCAAAAGGGCAAAAGCAGAAAAACCCATGGGTTGAGATGAAGACAGCTTGCAAAATGGGGAAAAAAACCCACAAAAGCACAATGCAAAAAGCAATCAATTACCATCAGCTGACTATGCAGCCAGTCTTCAAGCAATGGCAACACCTAGGAAACACCCCCCTCTAGTTTTATTTACGATCATATTATCTGTTATATGGTATCTGAATTTAGTCAGTTTGGGTCAGTTGTCCCAACTGTGTACCCTCCCAGCCTCTTATCTGTCCCAACACTCTTGCTGGTGGGAAGAGAGGGACAAACAGAAAAAGCCTTGACACTGTGTACACACTGTTTAGCAATAACTAAACCACTTGTATGTAAACACTCTTTTGGTTACAAGTACAAAAGCTAACACCACACGTACTGCTATGAAAGAAGTTGACTCCATCCTGGCATGAGTACACTCATGCTCTGCTGTCAGACTTCAATTAAAATCTGTACTTGGGTCTAATCTAGATTCTGCACTGTACAGGAATCTGAAAAACTGTAAGAACAGCTGCCTTCAGTTAAGTAAGTTTCTGGTCATGCATATGCCTACATCATATAATCGCTGACAGCCATGTCCAGCCATACTGAAATGTATGTCCAGAGGAATATGACAAAGTCTGAATTTTAAACTAGTCATCACCTAATCACATAGACTTGGAAGTACTGCTCTTTCACTTCATTTGACATGTTCACACATCACAATATCATTAATATGTATTTGGTCACACAAGAGGAAGGAAAAACATGAACCAAGGGAGCTCACCAGGCAGGTTGACAGAAGCTGTGGGAGTGGTTTTAAATGAGACCAGCCCACCCACAACCTGCAGGCTGATTGTTCTTACATTGAAGTGGACTGATATATAAAAGAAAGAGCTTTTCAGACAGCAATCACTGTAATTACTACTGAGATTGATGCGAGGGGCAACAGAAGAGAATATGTGGTTCAGGCTCAAGTAAGCAGAGAAACGGCAGCAGCAGCAACAGAAGCTTAGAAATGGAGCAACATTAAGTGGCAAACCGTGCCTCTTTTTTCCCCTCTAACTAAGCCCACAGACAGAGAAGACATGAGTCCCCTAACTGATTTTAAATGTTGATCAGCCATATGATTAAGCATTCCCAAAAAGTCTGCTTAGGTACCTTTAAAAGGAAGGACAAGCACTAGCAGTAGAAGCACGACAGAAAACTGGCAAGTGCTGCTGACTAGCGTATACATGTCATTCACATACCAGCTTGAACATCTGGCTTGGAACATTAAGCCATTAATTTAGACCAATCACTGGAAAAAATGTAAAGCTGTGTTTAGTTTGGCATTAATTAAAACATTTCTGAAATTATTCCCCAATTCAGGGTACATTCTACTATTCATATATATAATTTGGTATGTTTTGCACAGAACAAAGAAAAGTTAGTCAGTGGAGAAAGAGGCTAGCCAGAGTAAGATTTGTTTGGAAGCACAGCCTTGAGGAAAAGTACTACAGAACTTGGATACCTAAGTACTGCACTACCTGAAACCATCTGACTGCACTATTCTCTACCTAAATACTACAGAGTAAGCACAACTCCACTTGGAAATATCCATCTCACCTGCCCATGTCACTGTGCTCCAGGCAGTGATTTCTAAATAGAGGCCACATCCGTCCATTGTATTCCTTTTGTTCCTTTACCACTTCAAAGCCACAAATTCAACTGCCTTTTATATGTATGCTGCAACTCAATTCCTTTTAACACTGGTCCCTTTTACACAGTCCTAATTAATCTGAGCCTAAAGGTCTCAGCTGAGGAAGATACAGGCTGCAAAGTGAAAATAACTCCTACTGAAACAAGCCATTATAAGGCTTGTCCACGTTTTGGCTCAGAATACCAAGCAAAGCCATAATGTGCTCAGTCCTCAACTGAGTAATTTCCAAAATCCTCATGGGCCATATAATGCATTTCATGGAGCATACATGCTTATGAGATTCCGACCTCAAATTCCTTGTTATCAACTGCCAGAAATACTGAAGCATCAATACACCCCTACTGCTAGAATCCATGAGTCCTTGAGTGAAGTCAACATCCAGCTTTTCTTTACCTGCTTTGCCACTTCCCTCAAGCAGGCCACCCCTCGCTCAAAGTTGGGGAAGACCACAGAGCCGTACTTCTGGTATTCAGGGACTGGGCGAATCTTTATTGTAACTTCAGTAACCACTCCAAGAGTTCCTTCAGGAGAGGAGAAAAACTGAGCAAAATGTTGCAAGATGAACTTCTTGCAAGCTACCCAACTTAACATTTACTAGAATGTTTTAAGTTAATGTAAATTAGAAATCCCAAAAATTCAGTTTGCAGTAGCAGGTGATTTATTCCTCGCTTTTTACATGGTGAATTCTTACAAAATATTCTCTAAATTGTGCTCTTTGTTACTAGACTTGCAGGCTGACTCCACAGGTCCATTCAAAGCAGTGTTAAAAGGTGCAGCTTCACAGTTCTTATTAACGTCTCAGTGTTTTATCCTAACACAAGAAATTCATGCCTGCACAATTCCACTCATCAACACACTGAAAGCCACAGCACTAGAGACGCTCAAATAATCAAGAATTATGGAAGCTGAATTAAGATGCAGTAAGTGAAATTACTCTGTTTATACCTTCAGATCCCATAATGAAGTGATGGATATCAGGTCCTGTTGACATGCGAGGTACTTGACAGTTTTTTTCTACTATTCCTCTAGGAGTTACCATTTTTATATGAATCACCTGTTTAAACAAAGTGCAATGATGATAAATACTAGCATTAAGCACAGATTTTTATTACATGTATTTTCCACAAAACATAAAGTTTGATACAGTTTGGCTTTATAGGTTTCAGACATTCTGTAGGCAACCCCAAGAACCTGAGGATGGTTACCAACCATTATTTTAACACAGCATGGTTTCCCCACACAACAGATTGTTTCCATTCTATGACAAATCATATCAGCTGGTGGCTACATCCAGGCAATGCCAGTTAAAACTGTTTTGCTTCTCAATGTAGAACTTCACAAATAGAACTTATATATACCAGGATTTTAACCCAGAATATACATCCATACTACAGAGGAAAAAAGGGAGGGTTTAAACTTCGCTTAAGTTTTGTTTTAGAACTGCTGCTTGATAAAGCTACTGTAGTTCAGTCATTGATTGCTACAGAAATATTTCAGTTAGGAGGAAAGACAGAAGTAAGCTTTGTGAAATACATTATCAATATAAAAGCTGCCATAAGATTGACATGTGTAGGGCTATAAGGTTGTTTTTTAAAAAAATATTTTTCAATGTTATTGTTTCCAGCTTTATTCAGGCACATGCAATACAGCTCATATGTGGGTTTTTTTAATCAACCCTCTATTCAATTCAAACCTCTATTTTATACCAAGGTAGGGTAGAGTTTCAGCTTTTCTTTAGTAATGCCTTTAAATGAAGCAAAATTACTGAATTTCACCTAATGGCTTTAAAGCTTTAAAGCACAGGTAGCTAAGTAATTTTCACTATATGGAATTTATGCGCTGTTGATTCTGCAGTAAGTGGATTTTAGGCAGCTTATATAACACACTGTTTCAAGATATAAAGTTCCTCAGAAGGTAAACACTTCCTTGAAACATTCTCACTGTGCTATTTGGAAACTCATGAACTGTTCTGAATCAATTTTCAATCCTATTTCCTCCTAATGAAAATTTCAGAAGCTGTTTTAGCCTGAAGTTATGCTTCCATAATAGAGAAGCCTCCTGCTCCACAGCTCCCAGTACAAGCAAAACTGTACCATTCAGTAACACTTCAGGCAGCAGAGGAACAATGACACTTTGTAAGCGCTACTAGTTTTACTTCAGCCAGGTCTACTGAATAAAAACTGTGTAGCTCCTGCCAGCCTCAGTCACTGACAGTGATGTGTCACATCTGTGCACAGAACAAATATGTCTGAACTATGAGCTGATGAAAAAGCCTGAGGTAACATGGATACATACATTACCTAGAGTGCGCTGCAGGAAAGAAGGAAAAAATTCATGTATGGAAGGGTTGTACAAAATATGAGAGAAAGCTGATAGTTTGAAGCAAAAAGGCAGGCAAAGTCTGAGCAGTGATGACTTATCTTCAATACAGTCAATGTATTGAAGATAAAAGAAAACACAGACTTTAAAATCAAAAGGTATACTTAAAACTCAAAAAATTATCTGAGTTCATATAAAGTTGAACCATTTTAATGACTAAAACAGATTCAAGAGTAGAATACTACCATTCCCAGTCTGCTGCCTCCTTCCTCTGGCTTCCTACAAGCCATGTGGTGGCACTAGATCTCACCACTGTGCACCCACACGTTCAATTAGATCAGCCTAGTGATTTAAAAAATACTGCTAGCCATGGGCATGTAGGAAGGTGGGGAACTTGCATGCTGTCAGAGTTAGATAGTTCAGCTAGACATCTTCAGGTACATACAACAGGTAGGAGAGAATATGGGACTTCTGGGAGCTTGACAGGAGTATTACACTGGATTAACAGAGTCCAGAATAGTAGAAGACAGCAGCAGAGTCAGGACAAGGTAACAATTCCTTAAGCTAGTCAGTGAGTGCTCAAATGAAAATTACATTTATATCAGTGATAAAGATCATTAGGACTAATACCAAAAGCAAGGAAAAAAAGTATTTCAGTCAAGATTCAATGCCAAAACTGTATTACATGAAGAACCACAATTTACTCTCCCACCATGAGTTATTATAAAAGTTAAGTATCTCAACAGAGAAATTATAACAAGTATTAAAACTACTTACCAGATCTTCAATGTTTCCATAGATGTTTTTTTTCATGCCAGATGCTCGTGTTGCTACCCATCCTCCTAGTGAACTGAATTCCATTGAGTCTGGTTCATGGCCTGTACAGAAGCCACTTTCAGCAAGCTGAAGAAAAGAAAAAAATACATCCTATAGGTCCTGCATTGATTTAGTACTCTAAATTCAATATTTTATACTTGTTTGGTTTGTTTGTTTTTTTTAATAAGTATCCTGATCACACATGCATTTATTCAACTTCTATCTTAGATATGTACATGACACACAAATTGATTCTGCTTCTACTGTGCATAGCTGTGCTACATGTCGTCCTATAATACTCCTCTCCCATATTTCAAAACTGAGAACGCTATTGTTCAAAACAAGGTGCAAATTCATATACATCTGCAAAAAGTTATAACTTAAGTAACTGCCAACTTCCCACAAATGCTGTCAATAAATAAGGCACTTAATCTCTTGTTCCTTCTATCCTAATGTGATATGCAGCAGGTCTACAGAAAATTTGAGTAAATTGCCTGTACTTAATTCTCTCAAGGAGAGATGTGTTTTAATATACAGCCATCTGGTTGGGGTTCCTGTATGCAACACTGTCAACTACTTGTGATGCAGATCACGCATTCTTGTACATCAAGGAGTCACTTGTTTCTCATTTTTCTGCATTAACTTGGCTTCGCCATCTGCACAGCACCTGAGGTTGACTGGATGCCCTCAGAATTACAACACCAAAGCTGTCAAACAGCAAGAATTAAAGGCCAAGCAGTCTCATATTAAGTGATAACTGCATTAGTGCATTTGAGAAAATCAATTTGCACTGACCAACTGGTAACAATCACGTTGGACAGCTGTATTTAAGTATACCATGTAACATGGATCACTAAGGACATTCTGTTGTACACAGTGGTTCTAGTCTGAAGACTGAAAGTCACTTCTACATCCTGTCCACTGATTCATTTAGCTCATGGTTCTCTCTATACCACAGGAACTTGTGGCTTTCTAGGTTTACTGGTCATATATTTGAAAGGGTGGGTCCATAGCCATTGCTTATAGTTCTTACCAGCTGCATGAAAACACACAAGAATTAAGCTAGCATTCAATGACATAGACAAGATATGAACAATACCTAAGAAAAATATAAAAAAATTACTAGAAACTTAACCAGATAAAAATACCTGTTTTTCCAGATCTTGTCCAACAATGCCAGCTTCTACACAAGCTGTTAAGTTTTTTTCATCTATCCAGAGAATCCGATTCTGTCGAAAAGCCAATCAAAACGAAGAAGGAGTGTTTAAGATCTTTGTTTATTTCTTTCCCTAATGCTGTAGGATCAACATGCTTAGTCATACAATTTACTATTAATGCCGCTCCAGTTATTACACCAATGGAAGCTGAGGCTCTTCACTGTCTCAAACTGCTACACAACATGTTTCAATTTATGAAGTCACCACAAGAGACTAACACATATGTTCATCAATTTATACCAGGGGTGTCTACAGAATAAAAAGCAAAAAAGCCAGAAATAATTAAATCACAACTCTTACAGGAGTCTCCCCCTCACAAAGTATGGGTTAACAAATTATTGAAAGCTAACTACTTCAGCTTCTTCAGTTTCAGCATAAACTACTGAACTGATCTCAGATGCCTATATAAATCAGCTTTTATGCAATATAGACCCTACATATAAGATAAAGATAACCATTAAGTACCTGTTAAAATAGTAAAGCTCCAGCATTCATGTTAACTGCTCTGAGACACACACGCTTTAACTTTGATAATGCCTCCTTTCACCTTAATTTTCTTATTTTCCTCTTCATTAATGATTACAAGAACTGGCTGTCAGTCATTCAAAACACATGAAAGTGGTTTATTTTCTGACACAATGCTTATTTACACATCTAGCTGACAAAAAAGCAAGATAGTAAGAATTAACCACATTTCCTTGCCACACCCAAACCTGGCAGAAGTCAAAACTGTGCACTATAAACCAAGGAGTTCAAATGAAGGCCTCAGTCACTACTGTACTTGTTGGATCTCATTCTGCACAGACACCTGAAGAGCTTCCTTTAACATAAAACTACCACCTCTGCAGAAAAAAATCACTTTGTTTAACTGAAGAACCACTGAGTGGAGAGAACAGAGCCAAAACCCAGGTTTTACCTTCAAGGCTAAAGGAGTTAATAATACTCAGCAGGTATTGGAGGCAGTAAAGCCTTACATGAAAGATACAGAGAAGTTTCTGAAGCATCTCATTACCAAGTACCCATAAATCTATCATTTTAAAAGTACAAAGCTGCTTCATAATGAAAAGATGAAAACTAGCAATAAATTTTGCAGAACTTAATTTCTAGGCTGCCATAAAGCTATGAACTTCACATTCTCAAGATGTTATCTACACAAAACCCCAGTTATTTCTTGAAAGTTTATCCTTCAAGTTGATTTATAGATATTAGGTCATCTTATCAATCTTTGCTTTAAGTAATTTGAAGTCTAGTTCAAAAACTAGTGAAATTCACAATTACAACTTCCTTTCAGCCTTTCATTTATCCTCAGATAAAAATTCTAATATAGAAGAAGAGTAGCTTTCTTGGAGTTTGATCACTTAAAGCTGCTATAAGGCTTAACAGTGATTTTTTTTTTTTCTTATTAAATATATACAGGTCATATGAAGTAGTACAGGACTAATATCAGAAAAAAACAAACTGAAGGAGTACCAATTTAATCATCATGGTGCAGATTATTATTTCCATCCCTACTTTATTCTGGAAAAGAAAGAATGTCATTCTCTAGTGATTACCCAAGTAACTGTAGGATGATTTTAAAAAAATAAAATAAAACTTTAAGACATCATACCATTTGTGATGTATCCAGGGAGACAATTGTTCTTTTTTCTTCTTCAGGACATTCAAGGGCACTAGAGACACTTGTCCCTCCTGCAAATATGGGAATGATATTGTGATCATAAAATTCTCACGTAGCTTTTCTTCCAATAGTATGCCTCTCTCCCTCCTTTCTGATATGGAACTGAATAAAGAAAGATCACTGAAGTTAACTTTTGAGGCTAGTGATTAGCCTCTTAAGGCTGCCCCTCTCCCAGACCAGGTTTCACAAAATCAAGGTGGCAGCGGAGTGCTTTAGAAGCACTCCGTAACAAACATGACATCCTGTGACCATCTCAGCTGCTTCTGCTAAACCCAGCACAGAGCTTTAAAACAAAGAAGGATAAGAAGTTACAAAGCCATTCAAGAAACAGAGAGCTATAGTTTCTGTATATTCTTTAGATATCACTATGGAAACCACTACGCTTCAATTTAATAATTTGGAATATGGAGTTTGCCTAGTACAGGAATGTAATACTTATCTGAGAGAAAAACTGAAAGGGTTTAACTATTAAAAAAATAGGCTAAAATCAAGCATCAGACTTATAAGCAGTTTCTAATGTATCTCTATAGTATGTCACAGAGCAGCCTCCAAGAAGCCTTTTGTTTCCCAAGACTGCCACAGCCGTAAGAATAGAGAAGATGGGATGCTCCAGCTCTATAGCAGGTTACAAGAAGACAATGGCAAGTACAGACAAAGTACCAGCTAATAAAACACTCTGCAAGACCAGTGAAGCTCATCACCTTTGTTTCCAGTGATAGAAAAGGTGTCACTTTCCTTAAATACCAACCCCCACTGTAATAACTTCACAAGTTGACTGTAGTTTACTAGAAAAAAATTTGGGAAACAAAATGAAGATCTTTCTGTATCCTGGACAGTGAACAAGAAAGAGTTGATATTGCTGCTTTCAGCTCTACTGGTTTATTAGTATCGGTTAAAAGATAGCTTTTAGCAGTCTTGCAGCCCTTCAGATGCATCTGGCAAGGGTGAGAGTGTCGAGGTTCCACAAGTTTGGTATTGTTTTCAAGTGAAATGCTTATCTTCTCTAATAGTTAATGCCCTTTTGCATAAGCAAGTACCAAGTAAAACTCACAGATTGATACCACAGAATTAAGAAAAAATTTCTCACAGAATAAGGTCATGAAAGCCTACACCCCATGTATCCTAAGCTCTATGTCAAAACAAGGTAACTCACAACTCTACTTCAGCAGGCTTATAGAAGACATCCACAATGAAAACCTGAAGTCCTTTACGAATTCTTTAGGCTGAGGACACAGATTGTACAGGCCTTTAGCTGTACTCTGTATCTCGAACACTTCCTGAAAACTCCTTGCCACAGGAGTCTCTACTGAACATCATCTACAAGGAAATTAGAAAAACCTTGCAGTAGTGGTTGACCACAATCCTCTCTGAAACTTTGAGTTTCAACACTGCAACAAAAAAAATCCTTATTTATACATGATGTGGGAATAGAGCACAAGTAATGAAGAACACATATTTAAATTGAAGTAGAAGACATTTTCACTAATAACCTTAAACAGATATGAGATTTCATTATTTCACTTACCACCAAAGGGTATTATGCAGAGATTGTGTTTGCAGGCTAATTCCACAATTTTAACTACGTCTTCATGGCAAACTAAAAAAGTACAAACAGGTAAAAAACAGGATTTGTGCTTGGTACTGTTATTTGTGCTTATTACTAAATACAGCAGCCTGAATAAGCAGCAGCTCCTTTTCTGACACCAGCAAGGAATGCATCTCAAAGTTAGACAGTAAATAAGAGCTGGGCGCAGAAGTAGCAGTTACAGGGTGAAGTTTAGACCTCAAACAATTCTACATTTGAAGAACTAACTACAGTCTTAACCTCTTGCTCTATGCACAGGTTGAGACAACCTGCAAATTCTCAGGGCAAGACAGGCCACCAAACATTTAACAATTCATCTAGGTATCCTGGAGAACAAATCACATGTAAAGCTTTCATTGAAAATAGGCTGTCCAATTTACTTTAAATGAGAAACTAGTCTCTTCTGAGAGATGAACAGCACATCTTTTTCTTCCTGGCTGACATTCAGTTTCAGAAGTGGAGCTGCTGATGAAATCTAGTTTTTCAGGATGTGTTCTGTACCTGGTCAAAGAGGGAAGCGGAAATGCTTGTGCACAGTCAAGTAAAAGGATTAAAAAAGAGATCAAATACATTGCATCCATGAGTTTGTACAAACAGCAAATAATGAGCAGGACTAAATAAATAGTTTCCAAACTCTGGCTAATTTGCTCTTGTCATACAGATCTCTATTAAATGAAGGTAGTCAATCATTTTGTTTCAGCTGCTTTTGGAACTACACAAAATAGAAGTTGTGGCAAGTACTGTTCACAGTCACCAGTGCTGCAGAGTACCTGGTCTCAAGTAATGAATTTCAACTTATAGTGCCTCTTTTCATGCTTTCCATATGTGATTTTTTTCCCCCTAAGTAAAGGAGGTAAAACCAAGTAGGACTAAGTTCTTATAAGAAATTCTGGATTTTTTTATGCAGTGCAGCTATCAGTTATAAAAGGTAAAAAAAGAGTTAGGTAAAGAAAGAATTGGAAACATACAACTGAACAACAACTGATATTTACTTAGATCAAATGACTTTTTGGTTCACTACTGAAGAATGGCTCATGAAGTAGTGATCATAGTGATTACAGTCACATGACTCAAGAAAAAAAAAAAAGCATTTGTATCCTTTTACTAGACAGAAATGAGCAGGTCTAGCCTATACTCAGATTGCACTGCTCTTCCAGTCATTGATCTTTTGTAAAGAATTCTGATAGGAGTTACAGGTGTTAAACTTTTTTTTTTTGCTAAAAGTACAGCATGCAAAAAAATAAAAAGTTCTTCAAACATTTCACTACCCTTCTAGCATCATGTACACTTTAGAACCCAAAATTGAGACTGCCATTTTTGACAACTGATCTTGCTGAACATACACATTCACATTATACTGTGGTTACTTAAGCAGTGAAGTCATCTGTCAACATAAACTTCAGCTATATTAATAATAAATTGACTTCCCCCACCAAATGATGGGCTTTCATATACATGACCTGCAGTCCAAATGCTAAACAATCATGATTACCATTCATGAGAAAATTCCTTCAGTTTCTGTAAAGACAAGTGAAGTCAGTGAACCAAGAGACAGCCTTCCCCTGACTAGAAAGCACAGGAGTTTAGTAAACAATGGCCTTCCAGCTCAGAATGGAGAAAAAGACAATAAAAACTTACCAGGCCATACAACTATATCAGGAATTCGTTTAAACATTCCTTCCCTGAGTACAAATATCTCATGTAGGCAGTGACCTGGAACACAAGCAGTAAGTTAACAAGTTCAAACAAGGAAGGGTCGAAAGCAGCACAGTTATACAAATTAAGTTCTCTTACCATGAGCTCTGAATACCCTATCTTCTGCATCCTGGGAATATGAGATTTTAGTGGCTCTAAGATCCTGAAGAAATTCTTCATTTACAACAGATGGAGGTACGTCATTAACATTTAAGGATGTCTACAATACAAGAAAATAAATTCATTAAAGATAGGGTCACTCTTCCAGCATTTCTGTACAAGAGAAATAAAGAAAAACAGGCTAACACTGACTGATACTCAAACACACCTATTCCAGATCAGAAAGACAGCAGTTCTCCTTCACATCTTCAAACCACCAATCCAGCTTACCCTACTCTGCACACAAGAAGTTTTATTTCAGTAGTACTTTCTTACCTTTCTTTCTCCTGATAAATCTGGAAAATACATGATCTTATGAATGCATACTGAACAAATTATCTCTTTTTAAGACTTCCCAAGGTACCAGAATACATACTAAAGCCACTACACACTGCAAATTCTTCTACTTACAGTTCTGTTTTCCCTAACCTGCGTCCCCTCTTCCTGTCACGTCCCGAGAGTTAAAACCAAATAGGACCAAAGCCCAGTCAGAAGTCCAGTGCTATGCAAAACTAAAATTGACTGATGTAACATAACTAGCACGCTTAAAGCACACCTCACCTATAAGAAAGATTCCATAAAATCCATGTTGATATACATACAGGTGTTTCCAGAAAGCCTCCACCTAAAGTCCTAAAAAACACCTTGGAAAGGTGTTCTTCTTTCAATGAAGCCACACAGGACATTTTGACTTACCAACAGACCTTGAATCAAGATTCTGTAAGTCCAGAGGGAAAACCTCTGCTTGAAATTTTCTAACAGCCCATTCTTTCAGATTCTTCCAACGGATGTCTTGTCGGGTACTCTTACAGCTTCTCAAAGTGCAAACATAACCACTTAAGTCTCTTTTCTGAACTCCACTTTCAATTATTGGGCACATAAAAATGTAGTTCATGTGTAAACTTTTTTAACCCACTCAAAGAATCCTTTACAAGATCCAGATTAAAACATACTTTGCAGACATTAAGTGTAAGACTTCTATATGCTTTGAAGATTCCAAAAAGATCATGTCTTTTTTTCTTTCCTTAAAAATGGAGCAAATATGGGTAATCTCCCTAAAGGAATATGTCCTCTATCACAAATGACCTCTAATTAAAGAGTTTTTTAATTAGGTAAAAAGCTTGTCTGATAACTGAAATCTAACTTCTTGACTTCAAGTCTTACTGTAAAAGAAAATGTTGGTCAAGAGTCTTATTTCCTGTTAACAAAGTCCCTGAAGTCTGAGAGCAGATGTTTTTTTTACAACCGTATCTTTTATTTTAAATACACTTTTAAAAATATGTGATTGAACAAAAACTAGTTAAAAGAGTGCAATGCTTTCATACTTCTTCCATGCAAGCCTTGCTGGATAATTAACTGACATCAACCCAAAGAGAAGACTGCAACTGCACTTTTTCTATAAAGCTCTCAGGAGAGATTACAGGCTGCCTAGTGATGCCAGAAAGAACTTGTTTACAGCCCTACCAAAAAGTATTGTGCAGTAATGTTACACCTAGTCAAAGAAACTTAAGACATCTCTTTGACAAGCCTTACCTATACTTCTTGTCAAATACAAAAATAGAGTAACAAAATGGAATTAACTTTGGTTTCACCTTCTGAAGTTTGCCTTCTATAAAAAGTACACTCACATACTCACAAGTTTCTTTCCTAGAAGAGAATTTTGCCTATCTTTGCTCTACATAACCTCCAGAACAGTTGATACATTTTGCCAATATATGTCCTAAGATAAAATCTTAGTAGAAAGTACCAGTTAACAAGTTAACAGTAAGGAAAATTGGAGATTAATAATCTCCCATCTGCCATAGCAGCAGCAGTCCATTCTGAATGGGTTGAGTCTAAAAGTTGTGAGAGCTGAAGAAGGTAAGATTTAAACTTATCAGGAAAGTTGTATCATTGTGATGGAGTATCCACCCATCAAAAACTATGTAAGGTTATGGAAAAGGTTATTAAGAGTACTGACAGGAATAATTGAGAAAGACACAGCTGCATGAGATATTCACTACTGATAGCTGACATCATTCACAGGTTCAAGTGGATAGCCAAAAGTTTGGGTTAGAATTTTCACGCAGAACATATGACATAATGAAAATGCAGTTTTAACTTGCAGTGTGATTTGACTTGTGGAAAAGGCTATGTGCCATCCTAACTTGCTTCAAGGATAACGCTGTACTTATTGAAATAAAGTGTCAGCTAAAAAAAAAGGCCTTTTCCCTCCAATATATTCACCTTGTCACCTACAAACACAGAAGCTGATATTAAGTGTTGTTAGATGAGAGGCACTCCACTAATGAGACACCTTGATTTTAGGAGCCAGTCACAGTAAACACAATGTAAATATGGTCTTGGACTGCTGCTCTTACTATTCTGCTATTAATGCACATTCACACAGTGTTGTTTGCTGGCCCAAAGAACTCTGACAGCAACTCAGGAAACATAAGAAACAAATAGGTACCAAATAAAGATCTTTAAATCATTTGTTTAAAAAAAAACCTTGCTAGCTGTGTTTACATTTTCGACTTCGGATTTCCAGACAGAATTATTTCATATCAAGTTGAACACTAAGTGCCTGAAGATCTTTGTTCTCTGTAACATTAACTACTTAACAGCTATAACAATTCTTTGCAGATAGTTTTAAGCATTTTGATTTCTTTAACTCTTCCACAATTTTTTTTAATCTTTTAGTTTTAATCTTCAAGATGAAAAAGTTAATATTTATCTATAAAAATCTTATTCACATTGACAAATAAAAATATGCCTTTATTTATTCTCATAGGACTGAAATATTTTAAAATTTGCACCCTTAAAAGCTAGTCGGGAAACCTGTGTGAACTAGGTCTAAACTGCTCTCTACATTGAGTCTGGTCTGAAAAAAGAAACAGCATGAACAGATCTTGAAGATCACAGAAGCAGGTATATTTATTGTTGTTAATTAAAACACGAAAGTCACATGCCACAGGGAACCCTCCAATCTTACATGACAGAGGCAGGAAGAGATGGGATAGACAGATAAATGAACCAAGAGATCCCTTCCCTACTGCTATTCCTATATCCGAGTTTCTTCATGCTTAGGTGATAGCAGAAGTTGCAAACCCAGCATAGCATGACAACCTGAAATACACCTTGGAGTTGTGACAGTCATGAAAATGAGGGACCTGCAGCAGTACTTGAGACTAGCTATGAGAAGTCCAGGTATATATTGGAGACTCCAAAGAGTCCCATCCCATATCAAGGTAGTTAGCCTGCTTCAGATTACAAGACCATCAAAACCAGAGGGGCACAACATAACAGAAAAGCACTCAACATTGCTGGCAGATATCCTGGGAAACTGGTATACAAGATGTACTGTGGAATTGGGGTATTATTAAAAAATCTGTAATTATCCTTCAATTCTGCTTTGCTCTATCCTTTCTCTGCATGTAAAAAGGGAACAACAGTTCTCAAGACCTCTGTTCACAGCAAGTTAAAGCAGCTGCCAGTTAAGACCAACCCTGGTCAATAAAAACACACCCAGATGAATTTTTCAAAATATATTGGCAGATGGAGATCCTGTAAGTCACGGCAGATTAAAGAATGTCTTGATGAATAGAAGACTGAAGAAACGTTTAAGTTTTCAGGCCCTATGAGATTACCTGCTTCCGGGAAAATGCACTCTCCAACTCACTCAAGAGATGAGTACAACCATTACCCAAAGCTGTGTTGCTACAATCACAGTACAAGCACAGCCTGCTTCCAATACTGCTTTAGCAGCTCTCTAGTCAGGAACCTGAAGCTTCAAAGGGATTCTAGTAAGGGAGCCAGGACTCCTGACTCCAACATAAGTTACTCTTTCTAAAAAGCAAAGTATGTATGACTTACAAAACCCAGAACATTCCAAATGTGTTATTTTTCTGAAAGCATTCAGTTCAATCTTGAGTATTCTGGTAGTCAGTTTTCAGCACATAGACATGTAAATAAAAATTACTGCCAAATAAGAACTTTGACATCTTTCAATACACCAAAAACACATCACAGTTTAACTTCCCTGTATTTTCTGTCTCTGTTATCATCAATAACATTGATGTTGCATAAACAAGTCCCTCTAGGCTAACAGTTTCTACAGTCTTGAAATGCAAGCTACAGGCAGGACAAAAAACTCCCTGTGCTGGAAACTTTAATTTCAATAAATGTATGAAACCACAAGTCATGCTAAGACA